TATTCTGTGTTGATCAGTGACACCCTACCAGTACATGTCCCTAACTTGAGGTCGCTGTATTCTTTGGTGATCAGTGACACCCTCCCTGTACATGTCCTAAACTCTGTGTCGCTGTATTCTGTGGCCTTCAGTGACACCCTACCTGTCCATGTCCCTGTATTCTGTGTTGATCAGTGACACCCTACCAGTACATGTCCCTAACTTGAGGTAACTGTATTCTGTGGTGATCAGTGCCACGCTACCTGAACATGTCCTAATCTCTGGGCCCCTGTATTCTGTGGCGCTCAGTGACACCCTACCTGTACAGGTCCCTAACTCTAGGTCTCTGTATTCTCCTAACGCTGGGCCGCTGTATTCTGTGGCAATCAGTGACACCCTACCTGTACCTGTCCCTAACTCTAGGTCGCTGCATTCTGTGGCTGCCAGTGACCCCCTACCTGTACCTGTCCCTAACTCTAGGTCGATGGATTCGTGGCGATCAGTGACACCTTACCTGTACATGTCCCTAAATCTAGGCCGCTGTATTCTGTGGGGATCAGTGACACCCTACCTGTAAATGTACCTAACTTTAGGTCGCTGTATTATGTGGCTGTCAGTGACACCCTATCTGTCTAGGTCGCTGTATTCTGAGGCATTCAGTGACACCCTACCTTTACACGTCCCTAACTCTAGGTCGATGTATTCGTGGCGATCAGTGACACCTTACCTGTACATGTCCCTAACCCTGGGCCGCTGTATTCTGTGGCTGCCAGTGACCCCCTACCTGTACATGTCCCTCACTCTGTGTCGCTGTATTATGTGGCTGTCAGTGACACCCTAGCTGTACATGGCGCTAACTCTGGGCAGCTGTATTCTGTGGCGATGAGTGACACCCTACCTGTACGTCCCTATATTCTGTGGCTATCAGTGACCCCCTACCTGTACCTGTCCCTAACTCTAGGTCGATGTATTTCTGTGGCGATCAGTGACACGCGACCTGTACATGTCCCTAACTCAGTTTCGCTGTATTCTGTGGCAGTCCGTGACACCCTACCTGTCCATGTCCCTGTATTCTGTGTTGATCAGTGACACCCTACCAGTACATGTCCCTAACTTGAGGTAACTGTATTCTGTGGTGATCAGGGACAAACTACCTGAACATGTCCTACACTCTGGGACGCTGTATTCTGTGGCGATTATTGACACCCTACCTGTACATGACCCTTACTCTAGGTCGCTGTAGTCTGTGGCTGTCAGTGACATCATACCTTTACATGTCCCTAACTCTAGATCGCTGTATTCTGTGGCATTCAGTGACACCCTACCTTTACACGTCCCTAACTCTAGTCTGCTGTATACAGTGCTGATCATTGACACACTACCTGTACATGTCCTAAACTCTGGGTGGCTGTATTCTGTGGCGATTATTGACACCCTACCTGTACCGATCAGTGACACCCTACCCGTACATGTCCCTAACTCTAGTCTGCTGTATACAGTGCTGATCATTGACACACTTCCTGTACATGTCCTAAACTCTGTGTCGCTGTATTCTGTGGCGTTCAGTGACACCCTACCTGTCCATGTCCCTGTATTCTGTGTTGATCAGTGACACCCTACCTTTACATGTCCCTAACTCTAGTTGGCTGTATTCTGTGGCGATTATTGACACCCTACCTGTACCTGTCCCTAACTCTAGGTCGTTGTATTCTGTTGCTGTAAGTGACCCCCTACCTGTACATGTCCCTCACTCTGTGTCGCTGTATTATGTGGCTGTCAGTGATACCCTACCTGTACATGTTCCTAACCCTAGGTAGCTGTATTCTGTGGCTATCAGTGACCCCCTACCTGTACATGTCCCTACCTCTAGTTCGCTGTATTCTGTGGCGGTCCGTGACACCCTACCTGTCCATGTCCCTGTATTCTGTGGTGATCAGTGCCACGCTACCTGAACATGTCCTAATCTCTGGGCCCCTGTATTCTGTGGCGATCATTGACGCCCTACCTGTACATGTCCCTTCCTCTAGGTCGCTGTATTCTGTGTACATGTCCCTAACTCTTGGTCGCTGTATTCTGTGGCGGTAAGTGACACCCTACGTCCTAAACTCTGGGTCGCCGTATTCTGTGGCGATCAGTCACACCCTACCTGTACATGTACCTAACTCTAGGTCGATGTATTTCTGTGGCGATCAGTGACTCCCTACCTGTACATGTCCCTGTATTCTGTGGCTGTCAATGCCACACTACCTGAACATGTCCTAATCTCTGGGTCGCTGTATTCGGTGGCAATCATTGACACCCTACCTGTACCTGTCCCTAACTCTAGTTTGCTGTATTCAGTGCTGATCATTGACACCCTACCTGTACCTGTCCCTAACTCTAGGTCGCGGTATTCTGTGGCGATCAGTCACACCCTACCTGTACATGTACCTAACTCTAGGTCGATGTATTCGTGGCGATCAGTGACACCTTACCTGTACATGTCCCTAACCCTGGGCCGCTGTATTCTGTGGCAATCCGTGACACTCTACCTGTACATGTCCCTGTGGTCTGTGGTGATCAGTGACACACTACCTGTACATGTCCCTAACTCTAGGCCGCTGTATTCTGTGGCAATCCGTGACACCCTACCTGTACATGTCCCTGTATTCTGTGGTGATCAGTGACACCCTACCTGTACATGTCCCTAACTCGTGGCCACTGTATTCTGTGGCGATCAGTGACACCCTACCTGTACATGTCCCTAACTCTAGGTCTCTGTATTCTGTGGCGATCAGTGACACCCTACCTGTACATGTCCCTAACTCTGGGCCGCTGTATTCTTCGGCTGTCAGTGACACCCTACCTGTACATGTCCCAAACTTTAGGTCGCTGTATTCTGTGGCGATCAGTGACACCCTACCTGTACATGTCCCTAACTCGTGGCTACTGTATTCTGAGGCGATCAGTGACACCCTACCTGTACATGTCCCTAACTCTAGGTTGCTGTATTCTGTGGCCATCAGTGACACCCTTCCTTTACATGTCCTATACTGTGGGCCGCTGTACATGTATTCTGTGGCGATTAGTGATACCCTACCCATTCATGTTCCTAAATTTTACAGGCTTTAAATAATTATATGTTATTAAAGACAGCTTGATTTGAAAAACCTATCAAGATGTCCATTTAATTTTGATGAATGTCATTTATAGATACTGCATGTACAGTAGTGCATATTACAGATACTATTACCTTTTAGGCTGATACTGAAAATCTTACATGTAGCACTGCCAATGCAGCTTGTACTGCTGGTGTGTGTATCATGCATGTATGTAACCTCATTTAGAGTGCCTGAACATTTTACTGTTAGTATCAGGAATCCTTCCTGCACCAGTGGGTTAATTACAAACAGGTTTGGTGTAACGAGGTCCTGATCGACCATATCTATACTCGTTACCACCTCGTCAATGTAATCGTCTAAACCTGACAGAAATAGCTAATAACAAATGTTAATACCTGTCGCATGCCTAGCACTCCGATATCACATGGTAGAAATGTTATTATTTAATGATTAAAGGGACAAAGTTCACTGTTGCTTTGTATGATACAGTGGAAATATAACATAGGCTGACATTCTCACCTTCTCAGATACATCTCTCACTAAGTGTTAGGATTATAGGTTATTAATGAAGGGATTATAAGGTTGTAGGGAACATGTGTTACATACAAAAATCAATATGACCAATATGATTCTGAAATGTGACCACTGTACATGTTGTAGCTGAAAATAACAGAAGAAGTTTCAGTTTCTTCAGGTCAAAGGTTAGTTTATATGGCCGTGTAACTTCAGGTCAAAGGTTAGTTCACATGGTCATGTAAATTTAGGTCAAAGGTTAGTTTACATGGTCATGTAAATTAAGGTCAAAGGTAAGTTTACATGGTCATGTAAATTTAGGTCAAAGGTTAGTTTACATGGTCATGTAAATTAAGGTCAAATGTTAGTTTATATACATGTATGGTCATGTAACTTTAGGTCAAAGGTTACTTTATATAGTCATTGTAACTTCAAGTCAAAGGTTAGTTTATATGGTCATGTTACTTTAGGTCATAGGTTAGATTATATGGTCATGGTACTTTAGGTTAAAGGTTAGTTTATATGGTCATGTGAAATAATGCAGTCATGTAATTTAATATTGAAGGTTAAAACATAGATTTGTACAATTAGTTTAAATGTTAGCAATGTAAGTTAAGGTCAAAGGTTAATACATAGCCATGTAACTTGTAGTATCTAATGGTTTTCGTGAAGAAAACTGACTGAATATAAATTGTAATCTGGCATCAACAGTTTATCAGAACAGAATTGTTTTAAATATTTTTGTTGTAAGATTTCACCCATTGATGCCAATGCTTTCTGTCATTAACTATAATGCATTGCAAAATATTTTCAGAGGTCACATGTTTAGGTTTAAGAAATATCAAAGGTCAACTAGCTTTAAACCTGTTTTTACTAATCAGTAGAAGGATTTGATATAAATTATATAATACTTGTGTGATTATGATACAGAACTATACATGATATTTTATTATATAAATCATTTCACCTTCAATGTTATCAAACATTGTTTACTTATCAATAATGACAGCAAGTACTTCAAACTTGATTAAACAAGAAAATAGAATGTTCAGCACTGTTAAATGGAATTTACATACAGGTATGATACAGCACCAATTTCAACATCTGCCACCTTGCTGCTTTATAGTGAATGTTAAACAAACTGATGCATGCATGGTTGCATTCTTGCAAGTTTGAAATCTCTTTTTAATGTTTGAGCAAAATTAAAATTATATGTAATTCAATTCTTGGAGATTTGGATGACATCTTTTGTTTGTAAAATGTATGATGTCAAAATCTATGTAGCTTCACAAAATGTGTAAGGTCTTAATGTTTGGCAGCATAATCGTATATTATTATGAAAGTATTGTCTGTATTCTGTATTTTGTACATGTGTGAGTGTGACCGGGTCTTTTCTGTGTTTGTTAGGCGCACATTTTAAACAGAGTGTGAAGAAGGGAGATAAAGATCTACAGTTTGTACCGGTCAACCTACACTTACAAAGGATGACGGTCATCAACGAAGTCCGCAACAGCAGTGAGTTTTACTAGTACTTGTGTGTCTACGTTTTGTCTCTGGCCAGCTGGAGGTGGAATTCCCTGATCCTATGAGATGAGGAGTATTACACCTTGGTACACATATCCTAACCTGATTTATATCCCGCAGACAGGTTATCCATCCTAGCCCCTAATTCAGGTGATTAATATTAGCCGACCATCATCAGATGGTAAAAATAACTTTGTTGTCCGGTCAAACATCCATCATTCAGTCATGAAGATTAGTCTTTCTTAAAACACTTTTTGTAACTGCTACTTTTCGGAAAAACTTCTACTAAATGAGTCAAGATGAAACGAGATATGCATGATCCATTTTGTTTGTATTTGTGAATACTTATTTTGAGATCAAAAATATAAAATGGCCACAATGCAGCCATCTTAGATTTTGCATGTAACGTTTCCTATTGCTACATGACATTGTATATATCACAAAGTACTGAAGGGATGATCACAGAAATTGGTGTACTTGATGTTCTTGGTCCCTTCTCCCCCCTTTGTACAGGTAGCTATACCCACACTTGTTGAATTGGTTGATGAACAGCTGGTAAACAGTTGTAAAGGATTTCCTGGTTTTAACGAGTGACATACATTATTTTTAACAGCTGGTTGGTATGACATCATCACTGTCGGAGCATTCACGGCCTATCCTCATAAATATAAACATGGGGGCCTTCGTAGAATGCTGCAACAACAGCATGACCTTCTGTCTGCTGATGCAACCTTGAGTCGCACAACAAAAATACAGAGGTCATGTGACCTAGTGAATTCTGTGTTAGATCTCAAAACTGTGATAGGACAATATTGTGAGAAGTTGTGTCATGTCGCCATGGCGGGGACGGCGGAGGAATTTGGCATCATTATGGAGATGGTATCTGACAAGGTAAATATCTGACCTTATTATAACAGAAAAGTTTGTTAATGTTAGAAATCAAGGTGTTAAGATTTCTTATAACTAATTAACTAGTTCAACTTAAACAATATGAAGCTCAGAAAAATCTTGACTAAATAAGCTTGATGTCATCTTTTTTGTGTAAAATGAAACACTATGTACAAATTTTTAACAAAGTAGGCATTTATCATACCAAACTGGATCTCATTCTGCATACTCATTTGAGTGTAATTATCATGGCATTCAGGCTAAAGATAAAACAATTTCATTCATGATTTTTTCTGGTAGGTGCGAAATCTAGTCCAGATTTGTGATAGCAGCCTGCTTCAGGAGGCTGCCGACAACTATAACGAGGCCAAGATTGAGACATCCCCTCCCCCAAAGGAGACACCCTCCCCTAGCTCTCAGGACTCTAGTCCTGGGGACCTCACTCCTGAGAAGGCCTGGAAATGGACAGGAAGCAACTTTGCACAGAGTCCTACAGTAGAGCCTTGGGTATGTATACAAAACTACAGCTAAACTAACCTGTGTAATGGTTTCTAGTTTAAAATTTATGAAGTTTTTTAACGTTCAGGAATGAAATTTTCACATACAACAAAGTGGTTACCCATCTTCCAATTACACCATCATTACATTCTACAGTATGTTTATCCTTCCCATAGTTAACCACAATTTTTCAAATTGCAATTCTTTTTCCTTCCAGTATATAAAGTACTACAGCTGAACTGACCTAGTAACTTTTTTTCTAGTTATAGGAGATAACAGGTGTCAATACATAGGCTGACCTTCTGTACTGGTATGGGATGTCAAGTGTCAACAACGTTGGCCTTGATGATGTGTGTACACAAACTGACCTTGTAACTACTTTTACTTGTAGGACACTGATGGCACATGTCAATACTGGCTGACCTTGTAACTATTTGTACTAATAGGAGATGAGGCATGTCAACACATACTGACTTTGTAACTATTCGTACTTGTAGGATATGACACGTGTCAACATGGAATGACCTTGTAGCTATTTGCACTTGTAGGATATGACATGTGTCAACATGGACTGACCTTGTAACTATTTGCACTTGTAGGAGATGACAGTCATGTCAACACTGGCTGACCTTGTAACTATTTGTATGAGATGACACATGTCAACACTTACTGACCTCGTTACTATTTGTAGGAGATGACACGTGTGAACACAGAAGCTGCCCTAGTGTGTCTCAGCTCTATGGTTGAGGAGCTAATTACCAACAGATCTGGACCCATGGACAGACCTAAGTGGCTGGGAGAGATCAGTCCTGGTGTTATCAAATTAAAGAGCTTTATAGAACTTGTTAGTCAGAGAGTGAAGCTCTTCATGTCCTTTCTTAATCTAATGGTAAGTTGTTGATATTATATGTATATATATTTCTTTTTTAATAATTTTTACCCACTTTTGGACATACTGAAATTCATGATACTTTTCATGTAGCTTGCTGGGCTGAAGAACTATCACCTTTGTTGAAATATTTGACCCCAATCTAGCTAAATAGATCTTGTTTGTTAAGCTAAATTAACTTGTCCAAAGTCTTGGAATATTATATGTGTTAAAATCTTCTTTCTTTTACAAAAAAAACCCAACACTTTATTTATTTTACAACAATTATGAAACAAGTTATTTCAACTTATATTAATCAGTCTTGTTGGCCCTGATGTTAGTGTGGGAGGAAACGGAGTACCCGGAGAAAACTCACGTGGTCGGGCAGGTGATCCTAAACATTTTCACGTCAGATCGGGGAATCGAACACCTTGGTGAAAGGCAAGTGCGCTATGCACTGCACCACCCGACCACCCTTTCTTTTATAGTCATGTAGAAACAGAAAGTGCACAGTTTCTGTGGAATTTACATTCCTTTCATAGTTGAACTTAAAGTGAAAAGAATTTTATTTTTTACAGGAAAACCGAGGACAAACACAACTCATGCATATGATTAAATATAGACGAGATGTATGTTTCTCCCATGCTGTAAGTATACGGTTAACTCCCTGTATATAGATATAGACGGGATGTATGTTTCTCCCATGCTGGAAGTATACTGTTAACTCCCTGTATATACATATAGACGGGATGTTTTTTTCTCCCATGCTGTAAGAATACCATTAACTCCCTATATATAGATATAGACGGGATGGATGTTTCTCCCATGCTGCTAGTATACCATTAACTCACTGTATATAGATATTGACGGGATGTATGTTTCTCCCATGCTGTAAGTATACCATTAACTCCCTATATATAGAGATAGACGGGATGTATGTTTCTCCCATGCTGTTAGTATACCATTAACTCCCTGTATATAGATATTGACGGGATGTATGTTTCTCCCATGCTGCAAGTATACCATTAACTCCCTGTATATAGATATAGACGGGATGTATGTTTCTCCCATGCTGTAAGTATACCATTAACTCCCTGTATATAGATAAAGACGGGATGTATGTTTCTCCCATGCTGTTAGTATACCATTAACTCCTTGTATATAGATATAGACGGGATGTATGTTTCTCCCATGCTGTAAATATACCGTTAACTCCCTGTATATAGATATAGACGGGATGTATGTTACTCCAATTTAGTTAGTATACCGTTAGCTCCCTGTATATAGATATATAGACGGGATGTATGTTTCTCCCAGGCTGGAAGTATACCATTAACACCCTGTATATAGATATAGATAGGATGAATGTTTTTCCCATGCTGTTAGTGTACCGTTAACTCCCTGTATATAGATATAGACGGGATGTATGTTACTCCAATTTAGTTAGTATACCGTTAGCTCCCTGTATATAGATATATAGACGGGATGTATGTTTCTCCCAGGCTGTAAGTATACCATTAACTCCCTGTATATAGATATAGATAGGATGAATGTTTCTCCCATGCTGTTAGTGTACCGTTAACTCCCTGTGTATAGATATAGACGGGATGTATGTTTCTCCCATGCTGTTAGTATACCGTTAACTCCCTGTATATAGATATTGATGGGATGTATGTTTCTCCCATGCTGTTAGTATACCGTTAACTCCCTTTATTAGCTCACCTGGCCCGAAGGGCCAAGTGAGCTTATGGCATGGTGCGGCGTCCGTCGTCCGTCGTCCGTCCGTCGTCCGACCGGAGTCAACTTTTTTACTTTAAACAACTTCTTCTCAGTAACCAAAAGGCCTAGGGTGATGATATTTGGCCAGAAGCATGCTTGGATGAAGGGCTACCAAGTTTGATAAAATAAATGACCTTCATCAATTTTCAAGGTCACAGGGATCAAATATGTTAAAATCTTTAAACAACTTCTTCTGAATACCCAAGAGGCCTAGGATGATGATATTTGGCCAGTAACATGCTTGAATTAAGGGCTTCCAAGTTTGTTCAAATAAATGACCTTGCCTTATATTCAAGGTCACAGGGGTCAAATATGTTAAAAACATTTAAACAACTTCTTCTGAAAAACCAAGAGGCCTAGGGTGATGATATTTGGCGAGTAACATGCTGGGATGAAGGACTACCAAGTTTGTTCAAATAAATGACCTTGACTTATATCCAAAGTCACAGGGGTCAAATATGTTAAAAATATTTAAACAACTTCTTCTGAAAAACCAAGAGGCCTAGGGTGATGATATTTGGCGAGTAACATGCTGGGATGAAGGACTACCAAGTTTGTTCAAATAAATGACCTTGACTTATATCCAAGGTCACAGGGGTCAAATATGTTAAAAACATTTAAACAACTTCTTCTGAAAAACCAAG